GCTGGCATTTAACCAAAGCTAACCAATTATTTGCACGAATACAGCTGTGTATTACTTATCTGGACGCCTTCGAGTACGTGACCATCGAGAATGTGAAGAATGGGCTGAGAGAGGTCACTTTCGTGTTCAATCAGGCGATCGCCCCCAAACAGTCTCTTCCTAGTGTCTAACCCTTTAGGAGTAATGGTCGTTGACCCTAGAAGTATGTTACTCACTCGCTAGACACAGTAATTTCGTCGAGTATTCCTTTGTTTTTGTTCACTAGTGAAGAAATGTGAATTGTAATAGCCGAGGAGATGAGATAGATTAGATAAATCAGCATTATGTCCAGTCAGTCTGGTGACTCGTAGGTATGGAGAGGCTATACTTGTCAGTAGATTTACAGATATCTTTTCACGCTATACAGAGAGGAATAGGGTATTTCAGAGATGGAGTGTGAAAGTGTTTTCGCCGTTGAGAATGATTTTGAGCCTTGTTGCCATTAGTTTTTGTCGATTTGTTATGCAGTCTATGCCATTTATGCAACTCAAACATACAGTCAGGTAATAATTCGATCCCTCCTGTGCGATACTTCGCGGTTTGTAGGTTTGTCAACCGAAGCTCAACTGTAGTTGAGTGCGACGTCCCAACGGAATGTATCAACATTTTAAAGAAGATGAGACATCTGAGGCGACAGGAATGGAAAGAGGTTGTACTGGACAGAATGTGAAACCGTAAGTGACGGTTCATGAGACTCAGATAACTTCTCAGTCCCATTAAATTCAACTTTATTCCCGACTACCGTAATTAACTTAAGGAACTTTTAAGCTTGATATCACTTCGTTGAGTAGTCTCATATGTCAGGCAATTTCAGTGTCACTCGTGGAACTGAAAGCATCCCCATTATTATTATTCCTTGAGTTTTCTACAAGCGAGTGAATTATTTCGTTATTTTACTATTTTGATGTATATTTTAATAACTTACCAAAATGTATGTCCACAGTCGACCTTCGTGAAATTTCTGAGTAACTACTTTAGTTCACTGCAGATTTGCAACATATTCTTGAATATAAAAATTACGCTAGCTGTCTTCCACAATAATCCTGTTTTTATAATGCTTATAGTTTTGATGATAAACATTTGTGGACGTTAATCACCACTTGACGTATTTTGTTCAGACAACACTGCCTAATCCAATTTCGAGGATTCTTGATGTTTGTATGTGTTGTGTAACTTATAATAATCATTGGCCACTATTAGTATTTTGCGTAACCTTTTAGGAATACTGACTAGCTGTGTAGCTTTGAATAAAACTTACCGAAGGTGAATACTTTGCTGACTTATGTCACATAGTCACTGTTCATACTTGGTGTTAATAGCTGTAAATGAAGTGTAGGGACTGATCGCTGTATTGCTTCTGTAAGCTTTCCACTATGGATGTTTGAAGGATTTCTGTGTTCGGTTCAGTTTAAATTCGACTTCTTACGTGCATGTTTCTGTCACTGGATAGCATTGTATTGATACGATATGTTCGTTTCATAGTCTAGCTCATAATCCTGCTTTAATTAGTCAGTTGCATCTACAGGAATCTTCTTGTACTATCCATCTGTTTACAATCCAGTACCGCGAGAAAGGATTAACAACAAGGAACCCAGATAACAAACCAACTGAGCACCTATAGCTCTGCAAAATAAGCATAGATGAACTGCAATGGATTAAATATAATTTGAGGAGACCATTGACTGACATAGTGCACCAGACATAAACTTTAGTGGGACCCGAATTGTAAACGACAAGTTATGCATGGGTTCGACGGTGAGAGGGAGATCGTGTGAGGTGGAAATGGAAGCTAATGGGCAATCACATTGTCAGCCCAAAAATAATTCACAAAGCAGAGTGAATTCCTATGTTGCACTCGGAAACCAGGGGAATAATGATAAGTTGCGTCAACTTCAATGAGCATCATACGTTTAATTCACCCACGTATCTCGGAATCATTTGTCAGTCACTTAATTTTAGGGATATGAAGAACAATATATGAAACTTTTGTGAACATGAGAAAGCTAGAAAACCAATCAAAATATAGGTTGCCGCTATCAAAACATTAAGGTATATCGCGAAAGTTTAGCAACTGACATCTTTTCTTCCATCTTCGCAAATGTAGATAAATGAGCACCTTGATATAGATTATTTCTTGCAGATATTTGGAAATTCTAATGTATATTGTGCAATTTATCAATAAAATTATGAAATATAGCTTATACTTATAATTTAAGCTTGATTCGATTCACGCTAGTGTTGAAATATTAGTAGTATATGTGCAGGATAACTAATTGTAACAAATGATTATAAGCATGAAAGGATGAAATCACATTTTATCTAAACTCTTAGGTTGCGATATTTCCTAGAATATTTATGAATACAGCTTTCAGGGTATACTAAACTGTTGTCGTTATCGTTTCAACTTATACAATCTCCGTTAAAATATATATGCACTGGTTCAGATAACGAAGGATGTTAATTTATTTACGAATAAGGAAAAACAGATTTGCTGGGTGAAGCTATATTTCCTTTCAACGATTTCGTATCAAATCATATGGAAAAGCATTGTTCAGTTGTTAGTATACACACAAAAATGATTAACAAGATTTTTTAAAAGGCCAAGGGTTAATGTGTTCACTTATAGTACGAACACGTATTTATTGAGATCCTCATCATCCGTTACATTCTGTTTCCCAGCTACTAGTTACACATATCACGTTAGTTGGTTTCAAAGTCAGTTGCTCACAAACCATGTGTACGCTTAACCAAAAAAACGTCAAGTGGTGTGTAGCGTGTAACATCTAGATTTGTCCTTCTTTACGGCTGTGTGACTTAACCACTGAATTTGGAAAATATCAGGATATCTGCAATGGACGGCAGGTGTTTGCATTCCATCTATGCAAAATGGTATAATATGGTGGGTATTGCTGTGGCTAGGCGTAGATTGCTAGGGAAGTTAGTGGATTAGGTTTTGGAGATGCGTCGATTGAGATGGCTAAGACACGCATTACATATTTCAATGTGTCTCCATCCTCAAACATCCATAGTGGAAAGCTTACAGAAGCAATACAGCGATCAGTCCCTACACTTCATTTACAGCTATTAACACCAAGTATGAACAGTGACTATGTGACATAAGTCAGCAAAGTATTCACCTTCGGTAAGTTTTATTCAAAGCTACACAGCTAGTCAGTATTCCTAAAAGGTTACGCAAAATACTAATAGTGGCCAATGATTATTATAAGTTACACAACACATACAAACATCAAGAATCCTCGAAATTGGATTAGGCAGTGTTGTCTGAACAAAATACGTCAAGTGGTGATTAACGTCCACAAATGTTTATCATCAAAACTATAAGCATTATAAAAACAGGATTATTGTGGAAGACAGCTAGCGTAATTTTTATATTCAAGAATATGTTGCAAATCTGCAGTGAACTAAAGTAGTTACTCAGAAATTTCACGAAGGTCGACTGTGGACATACATTTTGGTAAGTTATTAAAATATACATCAAAATAGTAAAATAACGAAATAATTCACTCGCTTGTAGAAAACTCAAGGAATAATAATAATGGGGATGCTTTCAGTTCCACGAGTGACACTGAAATTGCCTGACATATGAGACTACTCAACGAAGTGATATCAAGCTTAAAAGTTCCTTAAGTTAATTACGGTAGTCGGGAATAAAGTTGAATTTAATGGGACTGAGAAGTTATCTGAGTCTCATGAACCGTCACTTACGGTTTCACATTCTGTCCAGTACAACCTCTTTCCATTCCTGTCGCCTCAGATGTCTCATCTTCTTTAAAATGTTGATACATTCCGTTGGGACGTCGCACTCAACTACAGTTGAGCTTCGGTTGACAAACCTACAAACCGCGAAGTATCGCACAGGAGGGATCGAATTATTACCTGACTGTATGTTTGAGTTGCATAAATGGCATAGACTGCATAACAAATCGACAAAAACTAATGGCAACAAGGCTCAAAATCATTCTCAACGGCGAAAACACTTTCACACTCCATCTCTGAAATACCCTATTCCTCTCTGTATAGCGTGAAAAGATATCTGTAAATCTACTGACAAGTATAGCCTCTCCATACCTACGAGTCACCAGACTGACTGGACATAATGCTGATTTATCTAATCTATCTCATCTCCTCGGCTATTACAATTCACATTTCTTCACTAGTGAACAAAAACAAAGGAATACTCGACGAAATTACTGTGTCTAGCGAGTGAGTAACATACTTCTAGGGTCAACGACCATTACTCCTAAAGGGTTAGACACTAGGAAGAGACTGTTTGGGGGCGATCGCCTGATTGAACACGAAAGTGACCTCTCTCAGCCCATTCTTCACATTCTCGATGGTCACGTACTCGAAGGCGTCCAGATAAGTAATACACAGCTGTATTCGTGCAAATAATTGGTTAGCTTTGGTTAAATGCCAGCCGTTGAGTGCAGACACCCGTCGGAAAATCTTATTCCGTGCACCGAGTTAGTCGCGCCAGTCATAATAAGGGTCTGTCAGCGAAGCTTGTTTGTGAAATCCCATAATTGAAGATCAAACATTCGAATGGCCCCACGTGTAATCACTAGCCTTCAGCTCTCCAACGACCCCCTAGGGCCTTAGACAAGCATAGATGCTTACCGAAAAATAGTTAACATAGGCTTGTGGTCCAGAGCTCATAACCACAATCCGAATGAAGTCTAGCAGGCACAAACAGGTGGTGCCACGTTGCCGACATATCTACGAGACTTACACCACTAACAACAACCAAAGCAAGAGACGCTCTCCTCCATACGCGAACTGCCTTCAGATAAGTACTTAGCAATGGGCTCAAGATTTCCCCAACCAAATTTCCGATCGACGACGAAGAGGAACCTCTCAAGATATCATTCATATCAAACTGCACTGGACAGAGTAAAACACCATCCCAAACACAAACTTATTTACAAATCTGTAAGTTTTATTCAGCGAAATATTTCAAGGCGTACAGCACCACTCTCATTAACACATAATGCAGTTCGTGGTAATAAGAATTTCCTGGCACGGACTAACATACAGTTGTTACGAAGACTGATTGAAGCGTACCATTGAGCTCCGAACCCGTGATAGCATCTTCTTCTTAGCGAAGGCGATCTGACTTGTGCCCACCTTTTCAACCATCTGCAACAGAAAGCAAACTTTTAGTAGTGCGAACACCTTAAGGACAAACTCAGGGAAAATGTAGTCACCAATGATTCAGACGGTAACTCCAATACTCATCACAATCTACACTTACCTTAGAGTATGTTGTGGTGACAATCGGTTATAATGATGCGAGCGACCGGGCGTTGCACAGAAAAACGGAGTTTGCACACCACACAGGTATTCACGTGCAACCGGACCACTTGTTAGTTAAATGGCATCAGGCAGTCGACGTCACCACAAGTAACATCTGTTTGAAAAGAGAAGCAGTCAGTTAGTAAAACACAAGAGAAGGATCTAACGGTCAGTTAAAATGTTGTCACCATTATGTCAGACGGTAACTCCAAATATCATCACATGGAAATCAACTTACCGTATGATTCGTCTTCTCATGGAACTCAGCAACTTTTCTTCTACTTCGATTTTAAGCTGGCGAGGTAGAGCGACTCTTACGTTGAAAGACTTAAATGAGTCATTTGCTGTTGCGCCTTTAGATAATGTTGCAGAAGTCCATGTTCTTCTGACACCTGCAATGAAAACCTACTGCTTGTTATCAGCTCTCATAATCTATATCATCTTACAAAAGACCTGCTGCTGACTGTCCCGACTGCATGCAAGTGACTTACAGCGCATGTATGCCCTGTAACACAACTGCACGCAGTCAGGTTAAGAAATGAATGGTGTGATGCCAACCTGGCCAACACTCACGGACCTGAGTAGTCTGATTTTTGACTTTTCCTCCAGTGAGCTTGAGCAGATTAGCATCACACCACTCATCTCTACCAACAGGCAACAATAAGCCCTCTGCACGATCATCAGTCGTCTGTCATCACTACTCACCTGACCATGTACCATGCCGAATGATTGCCTCGACCAACATGCGCGCACACTAAGTAAACTGCGTAAACAAACAAGGGCGACTTCAGTATTGAATACCTGGACTTCGTTTAAGCATCCTTCTTGTGAAGCCAAGGCCGGAATCACTCAGAAACTTCTTGTTATGTAGTGTAAATTTTGTTGGTTTGTTTGCGTCTATTTGTTGGTGGTGAAGGAACGTTTTCTCGTCGTCTGTGGATATCTGTCTTGTCAGTCCAGCCACTCTTCTGTTTTACCACTAGCGTTGCTCAAAGGTGTTCAGAGGTTGTCTAAGTTTTAGGGTCAGGCTTTACTCCCTGACAAGACCTGGTGGGCTGTTGTGTTTGGAGTTATTCGTCTCACTGGTTAGTCATGTGGCGTGGTTGAGATGAATGAGATATCAATAATGCCAACAATGATAGTCATTATAACGGCAATAAGGCTGACTTCGGGGGGGGGGAGGAAATACCAGGAAAAAATGAGGAACAGAGGGCAAGAAGAATCAAGCAAACAGGTAATTAGTCATATGGATGAGTGATTCTAGTAATCTGTGGTGATTCAGGGATGTAGGTGAGGCAATTGATGGGTTCATTTCTGTTGAAGAGTGTTGTTAACAGTGCAGTAGATGAGAATTCGGTCTTCGTTTAGCCAGTTCAACAGTCCAGCGCGCTCATTTGGTGTGCTGATGCGTAATTATCTAGCGAGAGGAGCAGATAAGTAATTGACTTCCGTAACAACACTTTGATTCTCCCAGAATTACACTATGATATTTGCTTGTGTCCTAATGCAATTGAGTTGACGTCATGAAGTTCCTCTCTACTTGCACTGTTTTTCCACTTAAACCAAAGCAGATTTCAGTCGTTTTGTAAGTAGTGAAACGATCAGTTTCTAGAGAGAATAAACTGGTAGTATAAATAAGCAGGCGATTCACTACATAAGATATAAAAATGGTAATTTGGGGTCACTTCCCAATCACCTATATAACGCCGGATGAAAGTTTGGTCGACCCAACCCCTTCACATGTAAGAGGTATGAGAGGTGCCTTGATCACTTTGGATCTCCTTCTTCAAACTCGAACTGATATATCTTCGTATTTATTTTACCACCCCCCATAGTCCAGTGCCGTATAACGCGCGGACTTGACCATCTAGAATTGCGTTCTTCAGTCACTGAGCGAGTCGGTGGCACAGCGGTAGAATGCTCGCCAACCACACAGGTGGTCCGGAGTTCGATCCCCGGTTGACGCACTCCTTCACCTCACCTCGCTAAGCCAGTAACTAGACTGGTAAAAAGGGAAGGTCGGATATGAAGCTAGCAACCCCATCCCGTAAAAATAAATGCCACTGCTACAGAAACCTCAGGCCTCTAGCCTGAAGCCCTATGTTCCACTGGGAACGTAAAGGAATGAAAAAATCACTGAATGACTTCGAGGAACCCATGGCTACAACAACAGACTTGTGACGGTCAGGACTACGGCAGCAGTGCCTTTCCGGAATCTAGTGGAAATTTTAATGATTTGTTCAGTGTTTTCCATCAAGAGTGTTTCCCAGACGAGACCAGTGTGTCCATCTTGCTCTGCTATCTGTTAACAGGGTGGGAATCGGCCGATAATTACTTCGCTGTAGGCTGATTGCCCTCGATACTGTATTTGTATCTTCATCTTTCCTCAGTGGTTCAGGGTGGTTAATCTAAAGTCTAACCGAGTAGGATAATGGCCACTGTTCCCCCGTCAATTTATTGCTTACGTTGCCCATAAAGCTTCATTCGAATTCACACCATGTTTGGGCGACGGTGTATCGTTTAATACACCGCCATACTTAGCGATGAGATTCTCATAGGCAAGGTACTTACACCCTTCATGTAACTTTGGGACTATTTAATTGTTCTCCCCAACCAGAATTTTACGTGACAACTTATCTGCTGCTGATCCACCGTAGCCTGATGCGCAGGCTTTTCTGTATATTGGCCGACTGACAGAGTAATGTTAAGCTTGCACCTACTCAAGGTTGTGTGTAGGTTGATGAGTTGATGAGAAAGTGGCAACTACACAGCCGCATTGCAACGCGATCACCACCCCACTTTGCTTCCAACACTGAATGCTCGCCTCCCCATTCTTTTTTAGTGTGACAGTTAAAAATAAACCAAGCGATTAAGAAAGCATGATGTTGCTCCTGTGTGGGATAAGCGTGCACTTCTCACATAGTATTACCTTGCATCGTGTGGAAATGTTGCTCACGGATTGCCCCAGAGTGGTGCCGGTTAATTGAATTGGGACAGAATCCATAGGCACCTCTAGATAACAGACATTATCACGCCGCATTCTCATTAGAATAGTCGGTTGAGGGAGTATAGACCAGAAGACAAGGTTTCTGTGAATGATGACAAGTTGTCATTCTGAGTCACGTTAAGGGGAGTTGCCGAAACATGGGGATATTATAATGACTGCAGTTGCATGAAGCCATACGTTTTGACTTGCGCATAAAGCATCAAGTATTAATGGTGTATATTCCCATAGACCATGAAGTGCAGAAGCTAACCTGTGTCAATAACGGTATCGCGAAAATTGGCTGTAGCCAGAGGACAACTCTCTGGAACTCAGAATACTATTTTATGTATACAGTAACTAACTTGATTTCGACGCAAGCGATATTAAACAACGGACGGTAAGTCGGATATTTATTGATCAACCCAGCATAAACCAATGTAGCAAATTAAGTACACAGAAGCCTGACCATGTGGTTCACAGTTGGTTACTATCAATACACCGAAAATATCCACAAATGACGTCAGTATAGTACGTATTAATACTTCTGATCGTATTGCTCCGGTCTTCTGTCAGTGAGCAAACGTCTGAGCCCCAATAGGGATTGTTGCCTCCAACGGAGAGGAAAGTGGTTCGATTAAACAAGTCCGCTCAGTATTCGCCATCACTGACAACTCATATGTCAGTTGTAATCTGATGAGAATAGTCAACTCGTCTCGTGGGGTTTATTCGCCTTTTGTAGAAATATTCGCAACTACTGGAGTTTGGACTACCGCATACTAACTAACGGTATCTTCGAATGTCACTTAACAATGTCTCATCTCATGTGCGTCGGTGGCACAGTGGTTAGGACTCTCGCCGATCATGCACATGGTCCGAGGTTCGAGCCCCTGCCAGCCCACACCCAATATCTATAGTCGGCCTGCAAAATTTGGGCTACCGATATCCATGCTGAGAATGCCATACTTGTATTAAAGATACGGTGTGGCATCAAGCTGTAACCAAAATAAAAAAAATAATAATAATAACGTCTTCACTTGCTCATTATATTCCACGTAACCTAACATTTTATAGCTCTTTATGAATTCGTTTCGACTTATTCTATTCCTATTCTCTATAGGGTACGGCTGTGCACCAAATACACAAAAAGGTATGAAATGAAAACAACCGGCTTGTGGATAATTGTATTAAAACCAGAAGTGGACATCATGATAGTAAGACCTATATGGGTGGCATTATATATTGCAAATGAACTTTGTCAGCCTAGGGATTATAGTCTCCCATTGTATTTCCTTTATGAATGCATCTATTAATGATACATTGCATTTGCCTATTTCATTACACTTTAATGATTCACCCTAGCACCTTTACTTTTCTAAAACAGCTTACTACCCCTTGTAAACGTTGTACTTACCTCAATATTGGTTGGTTATCGTATGCCTACAACTACGGGTTGAAAACGAAACGAAGTCGGTTTTCCTGCCCAGCCCGGAGGACTACTGTTTAATTCAATAATGATACGACATGGGTCAGACAATGAGTGTATTTATATATATATCAAATATTGAGCTGTCCAAACATTAACTTGTAGACAATCTATTATTTGACATTATATCATACTTGATCGTGCCTGTAAAAACGGCATGCATTTTCATGTAAATTTATGTTTATATGAAAATATAAATTATTATTATAAGTCAAAAACACTGGTGACTATTACAAAGTTTTATTACACTGAAAGCCAAATGTTGGTCACATTGAAATCTGAAGAAAAAAGTCGCAAACCACAGAATAACTTATGATCATATGGCTGCATCATCAAGTCAGCAAATAGACACGGTGACACCACCAGACCATAACGAAAGTAAATGGGTTCAGTCAAACGAAACATATGAGGCCAATGTTGCTGACTGCATGTGACTGGAGGATAAGCATGTTATCCACGTCGCATTTACCCTCATTCGAACTAGCTCACAGAACTTAGGTGGTTGTTCATCGTCCAATTGTCTCCGGAAACGGGCTGTCTTGACACTACTGGTTACAAATGGTAAAAGTGCCGCGATCTGAGGGAAGAGACATTTTTATCTGAACACAGACCTGCACGGATCTATTCGGCGGATTCCCCCTCTACGACATCATGGCTTGCTCGTAGATACCTGCTGATGGCGACTGATAGACGCCGTTACAAACTGTCCAATGGGGGACATACCTTCAAAGCTTGTCGTCGCCTAAAATACCCAAAGTACGTCAAACGTTTCAACCAATGGTAGGCAAACACCCGAAACCCAACTGTCTGGAAAACAGTCTACCACGTATAACCGTCTTCTCTCCCCAACTACGTGACAAATCATGATCTCGGAGGCTCTGCAACTCGCTCCAGACAGACCGAGATTGGCTGGGAACGAATTCGACCAAATATTAGATCTCCACTTCATTCGACCGGCGTTTGGATGCCAAAAACTGCCCCATATCGCTATTCTTCGCCACATGCCTATGACTTAGCGGCAACATCACCAGTTTTCCAAAAATTGGCCAAGTCGAAGATCGAATCCCAGTGGTAACCGGTGCACTTCGAGACAGGCTATAATTATCATTTTCGGTTAGATGGAATTCCACCCCATCCCGTTCTGTCTTCAAAATGGGACTGAGATATTCTAACGCTTTACGTACGAAGTATTTCACTGTCTTCATTTCTACACGAGTAACGATACAATTTTCTCATCGTAAGTCCACAGATGAGAAGCTGCCTCCCACTTTTGCAG